AACAATAATTTTTAAAAAGTGCAAACCAACTATAGTGAAACAAACAATTTTCATAGAGTGCAAACTAAAATGGTGTAACGGTCAATGAGGAGTGAAGTGTTAAATGATATGAATGAGTTAAGTGCCACCTGTCATTGGACGCTTTTCACTGGACAAACAAAGGAGGTCAAACAAGAGGGGAGGTGGCCATCCGCAAAAAATTGATAAGTAACCTTAAGCAAATATCCATGACCTAACACATAATCTGCAAATTAAACACGACAGATATCTTTAAAACCCTAAGAAAGGCACACTGCATAGAACAATAAATCTGTCAACAACAAATGCGTAAGGCAAACCCAAACGACACCAATAATAAACACAAGACACCCAGAATAAACTATAGTTATAACACATTAATCATTATAACCCTAACATAGTAAAAAAAGCATAATAACCAAACTCTACTGGTATTGTAAACATTAGATAACAGAATAATTGCGCTTGTCATTTGTTTAACTAATAAATAAATGCAATACTAAATTTTTGAATTTAAGAAAAAAAGACAAAACTCTACCACAAAACGTGCTTGGGACAAAAATTACGCAAACTTAAACGGAAGATCATTACACTACTAAGGACAGACTTACCCGACTACCATTACCAACATCCCCGCGACCTGCTAATGGGCAAAACCAATACCAAAAGGGTAAAAGTAGCCCAATTAAAATACTGGGCCCACGTCACTCGTAGGCAACGCAACAACATACTACAAGCCACCCTTAAACTAGACCCTACAGACAAAAAAGTCGGGAGACCACGCTACACATTTCATGACACGTTAGCACAAAACATGCACTTCTCACAAATTAATAAGAACAGTTGGGAGCAACTAAGCAACAATAAAAATAAAATAAAAAAAAACTGACACACTTTACCAAGTGCAGGAACTATCTGACCAGGACATGGACAATGACAATAACGAACAAGACGAAGACCTCGACTAGGAAACTACACCCCTGCAGCGAAATAACAACTCCCCAACTCCAAATAGTAATCCCAAATGTTTGGAGTAATACTAATCGACTGGTCTAGGGGGATTCCGCGTCGTACTTAGTTTTAAGTCGGCGTAATTGTCCCCCAAAAACCAACAAACGTCTATCCCTCCCGTCCCTCCTCCTCTATACCCTACTGGGCGTATAGCATCGGCTCGGCGAACCCGAGAATGGCTATTAAAACTATTCGCATGTCGCTCTCGAGCCCCAAATAGGGGACATTCGCACCCAGCAAACACGGTTGAAGCCGTGCAGTTGCTGGGGGCGAACAAAAATCGGCGTAAGTAAACATAGGCCTGTACGGGGTCCGGGAGTGATGAGGCAATGGGGCTGGTTATACGTCTCTTATACTCATACTCATATTATTATTATTATATTATTATTATCCATAAACATAAGTTATTTTGAGATGAAAAACCTTTTCACAAAAAGTCGGAACGAGAAACATCAACTACTGACAAAATAAACAATTGAAAATATTGGTCTTTGACCACTTTTAAAGAATAGAATAGAATAGAATAGAATAGATTTATTAGTTCAGAAAGATTGCAATGGTTACAATGTTGAACACGTCCAAAAAAGTATATATAAATATTCAAGATTAACAATGTACTAACAAACAAATCTAAGAAAATTTGGTACAAAAAAGTATATATAAATATTCAAGATTAACAATGTACTAACAAACAAATCTAAGAAAATTTGGTACAAATAAACAAATACAAGAAAAACATTTAGTTAAAAAAAAATCATCAACGCAGTAATCACATCTGTTTACAAGGTAGGCTCTTAAGCAAGGTTTAAATTCCCTAAAACTAATAAGGTATTTTATTGTTTTTGGCAATTTATTATATAAAGTTAAAGCAAAGTTTTGAATACTCCTGTAAACGGTGTGGGTCCTTGTTTGATTAATTAACACTAAATCTTTATTTCTAGTGAAGTAGGAATGCTGTCTACTAGTATTGTTAAACATAAAACTGTTTTTTTTTATAAAAAATTAAAGTTTCAAAAATATAAAGATCTGGTAGTGTTAGTAGGTTATTTTTTACAAACGTTTGCTTGCATGATTCATTAAATTCCAATTTAAAAATAATTCTAATAATTTTTTTCTGAAAAATGAATAGATTTTTTGTATGGGATGAATTACCCCAAAAAATTATGCCATATTTTAAATTTGAATAAACAAATGCATAATACACATTTAAGAGTGTCACTCTTGAAACAACAAATCTTAGATTAAGGATTAAGTATAGATACTTATTGATTTTTTTTAAAACTATCTGTTTGTTCCTTCCATAAAAATTTGTTGTCCAAAATAACACCCAAAAATTTAATTGAAGTACTCAACTTAATGGTACATTTATTGTTAATATTAATATTGTTATTGGTAAACCCATACTCTCCAAATTTTATGTACTGTGTTTTGTCAACATTTAACTAAGGCCATTATTTTGAAACCATTGAAATATATTTTTTTGTGTTAAATTAATATTAGTTATTAGATCATTTTTAGTAGAGGATTTAAAAATTTAAGTAGTATCATCTGCATACATATAAATATTGTCGTGGAATTGGGGCAAATCATTTACAAATTAGGCCAAGAATTGAGCCCTGAGGAACTCCTTTTTTTGACTCCACTGTGTTGGAATATAACTCCAACCCATTTTCCGATGATATTTTTACCCTTTGTTTTCGGTTGGACAGATAGGATTTAAATAAATTTAGCGCAGTACCTCTTATGCCATATCTTTCTAATTTCAACTCCAATAGTTATTTATCCATGGTGTCAAAGGCTTTGGATAAGTCAAAAAAGGCAGATACTGCCAGACTTTTACTATTCCAAAGGTCCATGATCCTATCAACAAAATTAAATATTGCTAATTCCGTATTACTACCTTTAACGAAACCATATTGATGTTTAGAAATTATACAATGTTTATTACAATATTTTATCAATCTGGTAGAAATTGATATTTCCAGTATTTTTGAAAAGATAGGTAATAAAAAAATAGGTCTATAGTTATTAACATTAGTTTCAGGACCCTTTTTATGCAAAACGGTGACAATAGCCAACTTTAATCCATCCGAAAAAACGCCACTTAAAAAGCAAAGATTTATAATATGACTAAGAGGACTTGCTATGACGTATGCGCACCTTTTAATAATTTTTGTTGGAATTTTATCCCAACCAGTGGATTTTTTATTTTTTAGATTGTTTATAATGTCATAAACTTCAAGGGCATCTGAGGGATATAAAAACATATTGGAGTTAATGGATTCAATGTTGTTGACATTAAGTTTTGGTGATGACAAATTTAGTGTATCAGATATATTAGCAAAAAATACATTAAATTCATTAGCTACATTCAATGGACTAAAGTGGTTACAGACGCGAATGACCCTCTAGAACAGCTTTCGCTGGGAGTGGTTTTGACCGGACGCTCCTTAATTAAACTACCACTTTATTAGTACGCAATGTTGCCATTTTAAAAAAATATTTATTCCCCGTATATTTTTATTTTAAATAACAAAGGTGTATTTTTTTAAGCAATTTTCTGGGATTTTTTTTGTTCATTTCCAAATTAAATTCTTACCAGGATCCTGAGAACTTGACTGATCGCGACGCTACTAACTGCAATGCCCTGATTAAACGACAAGCGAGATGCGAAACGAGTGCTAAACGTCGCTTAGCATAAAAGACCTCATTTTTTGAATGTTTTAAATTTACTAGGAAACTGAGACCACACCCGTGAAACAAAATGCAGTAAATCGAATTTTGAAATAAATTATAGGATAATTTTGTTCGTAGGACGCCAGGATACTGAGAATTGGGCTGAGCTAAGCCGTAAAAAATTTCTAGTTGTAAAACTAGCCATGCAATGTGCCAACAATGTGCAATCTTTTAAAAAAATGATGTGCGGAGGGTGGGAAATGGAACATGAAACAATGTGCAAAACCAAAATTTAAAAGTGTGAATAATCACTGGACAATGTTCTAAAGGGAACTCCTTTTGATTTTTCAGATTGTTTGCACACTGTTTCTTGCCACCTGTGTGCCTATTAGAAAAACCGATTCTTTTGATGACCTATAAAGTCTTTTAAATTTACACATAATTGAAATATAAATATCCTTATAATAATATTAATTTCAAAAAAAGAAATAAAAAAATACCCACAATGTAGGTCCTACATACTGTATTTTATTAAGAAAAATACCTGCACTGTCAACTCCACGAAGGGGATTGCTTTGATCTTAGCAATAGGCCGAGAATCGATACATAAGATGGAATCTACCTCACATTTTAAATAAATGTTGTACCCCAACTCAAGCGAGATATATCTAAAATGTGCTTAAACTTTGAGTGATCGCTAAAACTGTACAAACAATGTGCTATAAAAAGGTGTAATATAAGCGTCATAAATGAGAAATATTAAAGCGAGCGAACAGTGTGTATAAAATGTGACATGCGTAAGATAGACTGAAGCTTTGCAAAATGTCTTTAAACAATGTACTAACCACAGACCTAGGTCTGTGGTACTAACACTGTGCAAACAATGTGCTAAAATATAATGTAATATAAGCGTGACATATGACAAATAAAAAGCGTGATGTCAATGTACATAAAGAGTGAAAAAACTTAATTATTTCAAAAAGTGTGAAATTACCACAAAGTAGCGTGTATGCACATTGCACTCCAAATACACACTTATTGCACACTTTTCATGCACGCTTTATTTTCGCCAGGGTGTAATAGCCATGTAACAAATATACGAATCTAATAACTTAATTATTGTTTTTTATTATGTTAACATAATTATGTTGCCCTCTCTATTCTTAGTTACTACTTCTTAACTACTCTTGTATGAGAAATTGCTTTAACTCATCAATTAACGCCGAGTTTAGTATTATCTCCTGTATCATCTTAAAACTCTTTAATTTGTTGATATTATTATTAAAACGCAATATATTTTTAATGTTTTATTATTTGTCATTTTAAATTATTTACATTTATTTATACAAATTGATATATGTTATATTTCCATAACTGTGACGATGAAGCAAAAGTCAAGCAACAAACCTTGCCCCATCACCAGAGCTCTTTGTATTCAAATTGTCACAATAAAGTCTTTGGTTCTATACAACTATCATAAAAAAAATAAAGTTTGTTTAATAACTTAATTTAAGTCAGTTAAAAAAATAAATTACCTATCCTTACACATCAAATTTAACAACATATTTACACTTAATTTATTAGGAGACCCAAGATGAGTAGAGATTCTAAGCCTTAAGTAAATTGTTGTGTAAAATTTCCGCTATCTTCTCGGCAACTCCTCCCAGCAAGATGCTGCGATGGTTTCCGTTGAGGGTTTGAACGGCTACTTTTTGTTTGCACACCTGAAAAAATATAAATAAGTTATTTTGTATTATAAAATCTATTAAATTAAATGAAGGTATAAAGATAATGTAAAAAAACTTACGCCTGAGAGTCCATAATCTTCCCCAAGTTGAACGTAGTTGTCGCTGGCTTTTACAAGAGTAACTTGTCCATTAAATGATGCGCTTGGCTTGTATTTGTCAGCGGCTACGAGTTTGAAGTAGAAGCTGGAAGCGGCAGCAGAAAGTTGGTCAGCTGGGAATGGTGTAGCGCCTGCGAGAATTTGCGTGGACATTGCTAATCTTTCCTCCCAAGTCTTAAGGGCCATCAGATCAGATACAGTCTAAAAATAAAAGTAATACAGTCGGTTATTGTATTTTTGTCTAATGTAAGTTCGGTTTCTTTACCTTTTGTTGATCGACATCTTTGAATTGAAGGATGAAATATACCAAAGCTTCGCTTTGTTCAGCGACAGTGTTGCTTTGCATCTTTTGTCTGGCCTTTCCGGTGTGAGTTGAAACATATGATGGAGAACCGTCAATAAGCAAAAGTTTGACTTGTTCTTTGTTGGCTTCCAAGAAGACGCCCATTTCAAAAGCGACACAGGCACCGAATGAGTAACCAATTAGGTTGTATGGGCCTTTAGGTTGAACGGTTTTGATGTGTTTGGTGTAGAATTGAGCCAATTCGGCAATGGTGTTGAGTGGTGCATTACTTGTGCATTGAAGGCCGTAGACTGGGGCATCGATGTTCTTAGCCAAAGTTTTCAAAGCGCTAACATTTCCCTCGATTGGATGCAAAATAAAAACTGGAGTTTTCTTGGCATCGGTACTCTTACTGTCCATTGGTACCATGATTTTGCTTGGCATAATTTCGACGGATTTGTCGTATTGTACTTGGTTATCTTGTGGTGCTGTGGAATCGGATGCGCCTGCTCCGCTATTGAGTTCATTTAAGCGACCGAAAGTGAGAGCTCTGATTTCTTGAGCGCTCAATACCAAATCGTAGTTACGTTCCAAAGTTTGTTTGATTTCGGCACCCATAAGTGAATCCATACCCAAATCGGCCAAACTTGCGTTAGCGGATACATTTGATGTGTCCTTGAGACCCAAGATATTAGCAACGGCATCAGTAAGGCTGACTTGGTTGGCGTCACCTCCGGCCTTACGTTTCTCAGCAAGAACCATACTGGCAACGACAGCGTGGGGTTGTTGTAGGAACACATCGATAGTGGTTAAGCAAGATGACATTCTTTGTGGTAAAGTACCTCCGACCTCAGTGTCGTTTCCTCCCATAGTTTCCAAAATAAGACCCACATCACCAATAGCACCCCATTGGATGGCCACACCAGGCATTCCAGCGTCTTGACGAGCTTCAGCGATTCTTTCCATTGCGGAATTGGCCAAACCGTAGTTAGCTTGACCGGCGTTACCGCGACCGCAAGAAACCGAAGAGAAGTTGACGAAGTAATCCAAATTTGGGGCCATGGCTCTGGAAGCTGCGTCCAATTGTTTGCTGCCATCGACCTTGGGTTTGCACACGGTCTTGAAGTCAGCTTCGCTTTGGTTTTCCATCATGGCGTCGCGAAGTACGACAGCAAGATTAAAGATACCGCCAATTTGACCTAGTTGGTTTGCTTCTTCCATCAATCTCTTGGCTCCTTTGTCGGTGGTGGAGTCAGCCGTGGATACGAGCACATTGGTGCCATTTTCGCGCCACCTTCTAATGCAAAGAGATTGATATCCTGTTTTGATGCCGCTTCTGGAAGTAAGAACAATTTTGGTGGCGCCTCTGAGGATCAACCAGTTGGCCAGTTCTAGACCGAAACCACCAAGACCTCCTACAAGGATGTAGCTTTTTTCTGGGTCCATGTATGTGCGTGGAATAGCCGGTACGGTCTTCATCTTAGGAACCATGGCTTGACGGCTTTCTTCGTCTCTAATTTTCAAGAGAACTTTACCAATGTGCTTGCCAGAAGCCATGAAACGGAAAGCTTGTTCAACTTGGTTTTCGCTGTAAACGGTCTTAGGCAGAGGGCGTACGGCTCCGCTAGCAATACCTTCAGTAACCAATTTCATCACTTCCTTCTTTTCGGGGGTGTCACTGTCGAAAAGAGCATCAAGAAGAATACCGTGGAATGTGGTGTTTTTCAAGAATACGCTCATTCCCAATGGGGAGTTCTGAGACAAGTCAACTTTACCAATTTCTAAGAAACGTCCTCCAATGGCCAAACAACGTACGGAAGCTTGCAATTGGTGGGCGGCCAAAGAGTTCAATACCAAATCGACACCGCGGCCGTTGGTTTGGGAAAGGATGAGTTGTTCGAAGCTGGTGTCACGGGAATTGCCAATGTTGTTGTCTGTAAGTTGTGGGAAAGTTTTCTTGAGGAAATCTCTCTTGGCTTGGCTACCACAAGTGGTGAAAACTTTGCAACCCATGTGAAGGGCAATAGCGATGGAGGCTTGACCTACACCACCAGTACCGGCGTGGATCAAGACAGTTTCGCCAGGCTTCATTCTACCTCTGACAATCAAAGCGTAGTAACTGGTTCCGTATACTACAGGGATGGTAGCGGCTTCTTCCAAGCTCCATTTTTCTGGTACTTCCCACAAGAAACCTGGATCAGCCAAGACGGTGGTGGCCAAACTTCTGGCAGCAACCATACCCATTACTCTTCTACCCTTGGTGTCACGACCAGAGAATTCCAAACCAAGGATACAATCTTGTCCAGCAAGATCGCCAGGTAAAGCATCTGGTGGCAGTTTTCCGGTGGCTAACATAATGTCACGGAAGTTAAGGGGAGCATAGTATACTTGGCAAAGTTCAGTATTTTTGGCACCTCTGAAAAATTGAAGAATAGAATTATAAAAACATAATATTTTTAATCAAAATTTAAACTTACTTGAAGTATCTCAAAGGTCCTTCAATCCATTTAAGACTGGCCAAGTCACCACGAGTAAGGGTGTTGATGTAGGCATGTTCGACTTGCAGGGTTCCTTTGTCAGTAGCATTGTCCAAAAGAGTGTGGCGGTAGGTACCCCATACTTTGTTTTTAAGGACATTTTGTACCAAATCTTTTTTAAGAACATCGGCGTAAGCGTTAAGTGAGAATTTAGGTGCGCTGCTGTCTTGGATGTAGACAGATCTCAAATTATTACCACCAGGTTCTTGTTTCAAACAGTTGACCATACCGACAAGACCAGTAAGTTGTTCGCCTTGCACGTAAATAATGATCTTGGTTCCGGAGGTTTCGCTTTGTTTGAGCGCATCCTTCAAAGGTTCCACCCAGGAGAAATTGTTTTCGGTAATTTGGATGACGATAGCATCAGATTGTACTTCGATGGGCTTACGCAAAAGAATGTAAGCTTTGGTGGCGGTTACTTGTTTGCTAACGACTACCAAACCGTGAGCGGCAAGGGATTTTTCATCAACCGCGCCTTTGGCTTCTTCTAAGAGGATAAAACCTCCTGTTTTAAGAGAGTTGACAGCGTTGGTGATGACGTTTTCTTTCTTGTATGCAAGAGCATCGGACAAGATAACCAAGTGGCAGTTTTGTTCAACAGGGTTGTTGGTTACATCACGTACTACGTTCTTGACTCCCATAGGTTCCAAGGTGGTCATATCAACTGGTGCAGAGCTTACAACAATTGCTTCTACAGATAGCATAGGTTCTTTTTCCAATATGTCAGTGACCATAGGAGCTAAAGCTGCCTCAACAGGTTTGTCGGTACAAACTTCGGCTACTTTTAGTTTAAGAGCACCAGAGCTATTTTCCAAAACGGTTTGCAAGAGTACAGTCAAAGTATTTACCTTAGCTTTGTCGGAATCATCCTTAACGGCTTGGTTGCTTTCGAAAGGAGTGAATTTGTAGGTTTCCAATTTTGGTGCGTTTTGAGTTTGCTGTCTACGAGGTGCCAAACTAGCTTTCATGCCTCTAAGTTCAATACCACCGGATTTGATTACTCCAATGTCACGGTACATGTATACTGGAGTTCCTTCAGCAGATTCTTGCATGTACTTAAGATGTTCTTTGGGGTTGATTACGGCCCTTTGAAGTCTAGTTGGAAGGTAAAGTTCACGGGTGTTTTGTCCCAAGATGGAGAATTGGAGCATGGTATCTATATAACTGATCCAGTTGTTTTCCCATTGAAGTTTACCAGCCAAACCTCTGTTGTCGGATTCGCTAATGCCTCTGAAGATGCCTTCGTAATCGTAGCCACGGAGACGCAATTCCTTGTAGATGTCAGCTTTGTCTAAAGCCAACACATCCTTCTCAGTTGGTACAGTTGGTTTTTGCAAGTTAAGGACTTCTTTGGTAACATCTTCTGGGACAGAGATTTTACCAGAAACAGCCACTGAACCACCTTCGCAAAGTTCGAATTCTCCGGTACCTTCGAAGATGTTGATAAGGAATTTAACGGAACCTTCTTTTGGCATAATGGTAGCACGGTGAAATTGCACATTTTCAAGAATTACTGGCAATTGTTCGAAGTCTTCGTTGCGCAATTTGGCAAACGTTTTCCATACCAAAGTCTGAAAAAATAATTTATAATTTAATCAATCAATAATTTTTTTTTATATAACCCAGCAGTTCATGTTGTTCCGTTTATGTAAAACTCGATATACTCAACAAATAACATAGTTATATAAATATAAAATTGTTTGTATGTAAAACATTAACATATAGTTCCGAAGTTTGGTTACATAATTGTGATAAAATATAAATAATATGTCTCAAGTATATAACAAATCTATATACATGTATATAAAATGATCATATAACCTGGTAATGTTTTATTATATGACATTAACATAGTATTTCTCTTTATTGTTATAATATTAATTATAATTATCATAAATGGTACATAGTAATGTTTAATAGTATAAAATATTATTATTTGACATTAATATGATAAGTTTAGTGTTTATGGTTGGTTCCCTGATAGCACACTTTATTCTAAGAATGATTTTCAAACCTTCCAGTGAGAATATTCTTAGGATCATGCTATATATATTATATAAATATTTGTTCTAAAGAACATGCTTAAAAGACATATAGCATGATCCTAAGAATATTCTTACTGACCTATAGGCAGGTTCTTAGAAGGTGCAAAGTTTTAGTGGTAAAAATTAGTCTACTCTAAACATATGCTTAGAATGTTAAGAAAGTAATTGCTATAGAAAGTTCATTTAGGAATATTCCTGTTAAGCATATTTAGTTCAGTAACTGAACTTCAGTTACCTATATAATAGTAAAATATACTTAAGTACCTAATTAGTAAAAAAACTCAATCCAAAATATTTTTTTATAGTTATTTGTCAAATTAAAACAATATTCGATAACAAAAATACTTTTACTAGAGGTATTTTATTTTATGTTGAAAATAAATATTTATTAATTTGTATACCAATTTTTTATTTCTGAATTAACATTTTTATGTATATTAATCCTAACTATCTTCAACTTTAATCTAATCTGACTTATCCCACAAAATTTTCCAATTTTACTTTTTATGAAATAATGTCATACAACTTATGGTTTAGAGGTCAAATTGTTTATTTAATATTTTTAAATAAATATATATTAATATGTCGCAAAATTTTTTTAAGGGGACGACAAATAGATTTCACTGTCATATTATAACAGTGAGGCGTATTTGTTGTCTCCTGAAGAATTTTACGAATGTAGAATACAACATATTAGAACGTGGGTATCTGACATATTTGGAAATATTCTCAAAAGCTTCCTAGAAGCTACATAAGAAACCTTCTAAGAACATTCCAAAAACCTATTCGTAAAATGTTTTTAGGATGCTTTTTAGGAAGGTTTTAAGAAGCTTTTAAGAATCCAATTGCATCATTAAGGGTATCTATTGAATGTTTTAAAAGTCCCTAAGAACATTCTTAGCAATAAGGGAAGGTTCTAAGAATATTCCATTATTCCGGGTCATATCTTCTTAGAAGATTCTTAAAATCAAATTTTGCTATCAGGGTTGCGATAAACAAAACATGGAAAAAAATAGTTCCTATATTAAAGGCAAAAGCGAAGGAGAATTAATGCATACATAATGGGAAGTAAAAAAATTCCATGATGGGAACTCGGAGAAGCACGCAGCATGGAGAGTATTACGTTTTTTTAATAATCCAACTATATACTGCTTGTGACAGGAATTGTGAAACAATCATCAAAGATACAAAATTTACACAAAATCGAAAATTTAAAAATAAGCGCTCCATAAACTCCCTTGGGGGAAGGAGATTACTAAGTAGACAACATGTCACATAGGGGGGGTTCGGTGTTACATAATATAGAATATGTTTTATGTACATATATATCTGTGACATAATTTAGTTTACTGAGAACTTACCAAATATCCGGTAGCAGGGAAAAGAATACGCCCGTCAATAGCGTGTCCAGAAAGATATTGATCACCTTCTTTGCTCAAATCAATCTCAACGACCAATTCACCAGATCTGTTGCCCTTACCAGAGAAATTTGCAACAGACCATTCGGTGGAGTGATCCCATTCAATCATGGAAGCCAACATAGGAGTGCCTTTGCCGACTGGGAAGTTAACAGAGTTATACATGTTACCCAATTTTGGTTGTCCACCAGCGTTATAGAATCTTTAAAGAAACAATAGTACTTAGTTATATTCTTATGAAAAAACATGGTCATAACTTACTTTCCAAGGGCAGAAAGAAGGAATTGTACATTGTCCTCATGTCCTCTCTTGACCAAGCTAATGTTGGTGGCCTTTGGTCCTAAAGCCCTCTTAAGGATAGCTTGCAAAAGACCAGTTGGGGCGATTTCAATGGCAATTGCATTTTCTGGGACATGTTGAAGGGCTTCGTGGAACAACACAGGCGACAATAAGTTGTTTACGTGGTAAGCGGCAGAGCTTTGTTGAGCTAATGGAGTGCCCCATGCAGATTCTGGAATTGACGAGGAGATCCATCTTGAAGTACGTGGTTTTGGGTTAGGAATGATTTCATCTAAAGCTTTTCTTAGTTTGGGACCAGCTTCGGCAATGTATTTGCTGTGGAAAGCGGTACCTGAGCTCTTGACGGCCTTGGCGAAGATGTTTTCGGCTGTGAGTTCGGCTACGAATTTTTCAATAGCAGCTGGAGGTCCAGAGATGGTGACGCTGTCTTCACTGTTGTGACAAGCAGGGAAAATTTCTGGTGGGCACCTCTTTTTGGTTTCTTCCCATGATAGACCAACGGCAGCCATAGCACCTGGGGCAAGTTTACTTTCCAAGATAGCGCGACCTCTGCTGTAAGCAGCCAAAACGGCTTGTTCTCCGGTCAAAGTACCATCAGCATAGGCACAACCAACTTCTCCTACGGAGTGACCTACAATACCATCAGGTTCTACTCCAAGGGCTCTTAAGACATCAGTGAGGGCCACTTGAATGGCGGCGATTGAAATGAATGAGTTCAATACATTGTCGAAGGTAGCTTCATTTCCATTCACGATTATGTCTTCCAGGTTGATTCCGTGAGGTTTAAGAGCGGCAGCGCTCTTTTTAATGGATTCCCTAAATGTTTCGACGTTCATCAAGTCTTTAGCCATACCAGGCCATTGAGATCCCATTCCGGAGAAGATGTACCATACTGGTCTCTCATGGGCAGTTTCGGAAACTTCTCTGGTTGGTTGTTCGTTCAAGATGGTGTAACCACGGTAGAAGTGACCGTTGATGTTTTTGCTGTGAATTGCATCGATTAAAGCCAAGAATTCTTGGTCGTTCTTGTTTTCTTCGACTTTGGTCAAAAAGTTGTTAACAGCTTCTTGGGTACGGCCAGAGACGCTTACAACCCTTGGTAATGGAGATGGAGTCCAGGTAGTTTTTGGTTTAGGGTTGGATTTCAAGATGATGTGAGCGTTGGCTCCACCGAAACCGAAAGAGTTAACTCCAACTATTCCTCCCTTCCATTCTTTGTTTTTGGAGACAACTTCCAATCTTCCGTCGTTTAATGCTGGAATGTCTTTGTTAGGGGATTTAAAGTGAAGATTTCCGGGAATTTTTCCGGATTCCATGGCAATAACAATTTTGGCCAAAGAGCAGAGACCGGAAGCGGGTTCGGAGTGACCCATGTTACTTTTGACAGAACCAATTAGAAGTGGTTCTTTGCGGTTATTGCAGAAGAAATCGGCAATTGAGTTGACTTCTTGTGGATCGCCTACTTTGGTACCGGTTCCGTGAGCTTCGACGTAGGAAACGTCATGTGGGTTTACTCCGCTTTCAGCATAAACTTCCCTGATCAGTTTGTTTTGCATACCTCCGGCTGGGAAGGTGATACCTTGTTCTTTGTTACCATCAGTATTGGTCTTGGCACCCAACACAGTGGCGTACACACGTCTGGCAGCGGAAGCTTTTTGTAGGTAGACTACTACAGCGGCTTCAGATCTTACGTAACCGTTTCCGGAGGCATCAAATGCTTTGCACATACCATGAGGACTCAACATACTCAAACGGTGAAATTGAAGGGAAGAGGTGGGTTTTAAAAGTAGGTTTACACCTCCAACGATAGCGGAGTCACATTGTCCGGTTTTGATTGCATTTACAGCTTGTTGGAAAGCGAAAAGACTGCTGGAGCAGGCCGTGTCAATGGCGTAACTTGGACCACTGAAATCGAAAGTGTAGGAGATTCTGTTAGGGAACATGGCACGACAACAACCAGTAAGACCGTAGCCGTTGATTTGCTCTGGGTCTTGGGTCCAGTATTCGGAAGATTCAGAATCGGAAACTCCAATAAAAACTCCGGTCTTGGATCCTTTCACTTCGTTGGGGTTGATACCAGCATCAATGATGGCTTCGTGTGTCAATTCCAAAAGCATTCTCAATTGGGGGTCCATAACGTGGGCCTGTTTGGCGTGCACGCCGAAGAAAGTGGCATCGAAGTGGGCGATATCCTTGATTTTACCGGTACGGGTCGGCAAACCGTAGAGGCCGGATGGCCATCTTCTTTCATCGTCGGTCACCAGATCCACTCCATCGAAGAGTTGTTGCTTGAATTCCTCGATGGTTTGACTCTCTGGCAGACGACCTGAGATACCGGTGATCACCACATCTTCGGTGCATTGGTTTGCGTGACCGTTCTGCGTATCTGGCACACGAGCGGGCATTTTTAATGCTTTTTTAAATTACCTGTAAGTAATATAAAAACAAGTTAAGTAAATTTATTATGGCCATTACTTCAAAAATAAATAAAAACTATCATTTAATTTCAAATAATTAATGAACCTACTGGGAAAAATAATATTTCTACAATGTTACTGAACGTTACATTTGTTAGATGTAATATTACAAAACTCCTTGTGGCAATGTTGCAGGAACATTGCAACAAAGCCTTATGTCCGGCTCAGGAACATTACATTTACAAATAAAATGTTGCTTAAATGTATTAATTGCAATGTTACCAAATGTTATTTTTGTGGCAATGTTGCAGGAACATTGCAACAAAGTCTTATGGTTCAGGAACATTACATTTACAAATAAAATGTTGCTTAAATTTAGGATGAAACATTGCCCAAAACTTAGCAATGTTTCAAAAATCTTACAAATTAAATGTTTATATTGTTTATATAAAGTAACATTGCAAAAATTATATTAATGTATTATTTCGGATGAAACATTGCCAAAAACTTTTCAATATAATATTATAATTGCAATGTTCCTAAAATCTTGCAAATTAAATGTTTATATTGTTTATATAAAGTATCATTGCAAAAATCATCTTAATGTAATATTTCGGATGAAACATTGCCCAAAACTTATCAATGTAATATTATAATTGCAATGTTTCAAAAATATTCCCAAACATTCCAAAATAAATGTTTCTATTGTATATTTAAAGTAAAGTTGCAAACATTTTTCATTTGAAACTTGTGTTAATATTTCAATTGAAACATTGAAAAAAAAATATGTCTGCAATATTATAATTGTAATGTTTAAAAACTTTTATACTAAATGTTACAAATATAACATTGTAAAAACTTTCCATGTGAATCTTTAAATAATGTTTTAAATTTAAGGTTGTTGGAAATTATTATATGCATTATTTCAAATGAAACATTTCATTTATGTTAATGCAAGTAGCACAGGAAATATTTTATTTGTAAAGTCGGCGAACATTGCAGCAATATTTTGTAAGGTTTCTTTCCCAGTGGGAAATGACAAGTGCAATTTCGTAATTTTTTCCGAATTTTTTTTAAGATTTAGGATAGGTATCAAAATTGAATCTGCAAATTAAGTTGAATGAGTTAAAACTATTTTAAATTAAAACTATTCGTGTGTAAATTTTTAACTGGACAACAAAAGATATCCTTATAAACTCTACAAATTCTTTCTTTATACAACTGTTTACAAATTTACAAATGTAAGGCGTAATATCCCAGCACTAGGCTGTAACCAATATTTTTAAAACAAAATAATTAACAAAATTTTAATGAAAGCGTCAGGCAATAATTAAATATTTTTATTTAGCTAAACGTTAACAATTAAGTTTTACGTGTAAAATAATTATATAATTTAAAAACATTCATATTTATTATTGTTAAAGACCAAGTATTAAAAATATAATATGTATAATAGAAAACTAAGCCAAGATAAAATAAAATGTACCGTAATTTCAACATAACTTAAATTAAGATCAATTTAACAGTTCTTTTATAAATGCATAAAAGAACTGTTTAAAAAAATTTAATACAAAACCAATTTTATTAAAAAGTAGGTACGTTGGTAATAATTATTTTATGACTAAAAATAAAATATTTTTAGTACGCATGAGCATTATATGCAGGGGCGGATTTGATGTCAATGGCGCCCTATGCCCCCCATATTGAGATACTTCCTTTTTCGTAGGTGTCCAAAGCAAAATGAGACGTTTTTTTTAATATTTTTTTCTTTCCAAAAACACATGTGCAGGAACATTGAAATTTTATAAAATATTATTTTTAACTTAATTAATTATTTTATAAAATTCAAAAACAAAAAATATAAAATTTAATAGGTATTCTTTAAAAGTATAATTTAAAAAGAATATGGTAATGATGTCAAAGAAAATTTGAACAAAAAACGAACATTGTAAAGATAACATACCTACTTCGTTATTACCTATTTGTTACGGTAAAACCAAAGTTTTTTAGGTGTGGCAAAATTTGAAGAAAAAAAAGAAAATTTTAAAAGGTGACAAAATCGTCAACCGTTTGACGTCAACAGTTACCTACTCTCAGTGATTTTTTTTACTAAATTCACTACTGTGCGTATAAAAAAACACAATGAACATTCAATTTTGCAAATTATTACAAATTGTTCAATTACAAAATTACGCAATTAAATTTTATAATATAATAACGTATCTAAATTTGATAAGAAAATTGTTCAATACCTATCATTGATCAATGACATTAGCGGTCAGTTAAACATATACATACATACAGAGGTCATTTTCTTGTTATCTAAATATTAAGATAAATACGTAATGTTCATAGTTCAAAATTAATTTTGGTTTACCTAATTTAAATTAATTCAAATACTACCCATCAATGAATAATTTTAATTAAGAAAATGAAATAAAACAATATTTATTATTAAAAGAAATAATAAATAATCTAAATTAAAAAAAAAAAAATTAAATTGGAACACCAATAAATTTAATAGCAAGACCGGGCATGATATACTTACATACAGTTAATTTTTTTTTATCTGGACTTTTTTTGTTAGGTTGGTGGCTTATGCCAGTTTGACTTAGTATTTTTAGTATTTAAAAATGGTACTTCTGATAAAGAATTTAATTAAATACTTTGACATTGACAATAATATTTATTATTGATAATTTACTTGTCAATTATAAATAAAAAGATAATTATGCCAAAAATAATAGCAACGAATTCGAATGTAAAAGCCCTTTTAAGGGCAAAACTTCATTTTGATGAAATTATGCCTAATGCCACAATGGAAGAAAAAGTAACGAATTTGGTTTTATAAATATTACATCACACATTATTTTCACATTATTCACCATTGGACAACATTTACGTTCACAAAAAATTTTAATTTCTTTTATATAAATTCTTTTCAAAGCGAAGATTATCATCCGCTAGGAATACTTTCTCTTCTGGGCCCTAAAGCAACCTATATTTAACTATTTTTTTATATGATTTTACTCATCCAAGCACCACCAAACCAAATTAATTGCATTTTTAACTACGAATTTCGACAACTCAACTTGACAACTGCACAATGTAACCTACAATAATTTATACATAACCACAATTAGATTTATAACTAGCTTAGTTTGTTTTAATCAATATGACCAATTTTGGTTTTTTATTTACCAACCCAAACCCTAAATTTGCAACGTTGTCGCAGTCCAGATAAAAAAATTAACTTTAATAAGATTATAAAAAAAAATAGAATTTTATTAAGTTTATCTGAATACCTAAATATCGGATCATAATTATAGTTTTTTTGTGATTCCGTAGGTATACCTACCTATAAATATTTAGTATTTTTACAAAAACTTAAGCCTCATTGAGAACTTCGTAATTAGTGTAATAAATTAGTGGTTTCAATTATACTTCGTCTGGTCTTTTTAACCTGACAAAAACAAAATTACTTATATTAGAATAATATTTGTTTACAACTATTATATTAATATTTAACCTTATCGTCACTGACAAATCTTCAAACTTTTTTAAATTTGATAGGTATACCTAAAATGTCCGCGCACATGTTTAAAGGCGCTTTCCAATTATAATTAGTGGAAAAAGTTTGGAGTTTGCAAATTTTTACCACTATTTAAAAAAAGTACCAAGTACCTACCACCATTTTTTGGTTGTGAAAAACAAACTTTTATTTAAAAAAAAAGTCAATTTATAAATTTATACAACGTTTGATTATCGAAATTAATTAGGTATATATGTAGGTATTTCAAAAAAATACAATTTAGGGAATTACAAAAATGACATTGAATTTATTAATTTTATTAGTAATTAATTTACACAAAACTCGTAACTATACGAATTTTTATTTTCCTGTAAACCTTGTAGAGTACATTTTGGAAAATAAAAATAATGCGCAATTTTTAACACACTGTAACAGTCTGTTACCGATTTAAAAAAGATAAATTATCTTAGATAATTACCGATCCAGTTTTAAACTGCGTACAGCATCATTCAAACTTTATAATTATTTAGGTAGTTCTTGAAAAAAAATCGTTAAACTTCGTTTTTACCGAAATCAATAGAAACGCGCATCGAGCAACACGCATCACGTGATGACAACAACAGATGCGATCACCTGATTTAACAGCCAATCGCAAGGCGTAAGATCTGGGTTTTCAATGGCAAGTTTAAATTTGAATGTAGGCTTTTAGTTAATCATTATGATTAAATTTCATGCGAATTGTTTGTGTTTGTTATCTTGAGGAAGCGGAAATTTATTTTAATATAAAGTAAACGTGCTTTAATAAAATGTTACTAAAAACAATGTAACACGTGTCCAGATGAAGCAAATGTTTATATTTTTTTCGAGTTCATATTTAAATATTAATTATTTGTTGTTTTAAATTGGGTAATAATTTAATAACATTGTGGGAAAATTGTATAGGTAATTGTTTTTTGTATTGTGTTTGTGTTTAATTTAAAATGATGAACGGTACAAAAACCACAAACTTAAATTATTTATAGTTTCTTTTAAAATTGTATAAAATAAAGAAAAAAATGTTCAATTGTTTGTCGGTACTTACTTGAAAAATAAATAGATTATCCTTAATAAGTGATTGATTGAATATCACAAAAACGTATTAATAACACAGCACCGTTCCTTATTAATAATTTTTTGTAAATATTGCACCTAATGCCGTTCGTGGGCGAACGCAAACTAAAAAGCACAATTTTGCGGTTTTGTATTTATTAGCGATGTTGTGTCAGACCACGGGGATCGGCCAATGAGATTTCAGCATGGCGCACTCGTGTTTGTTGTGTGCTCCGGCTGGTCGATAGAGAAGATTCGAAGGAGCACGAAAAGAGTTTGACGGTTCTGCCGGACTGGGATTCAATTGTCACGTTCTAGATGCAGCAGGATCAGCACTATGGTGATAAAGTGGTGTGACCTTTTGGGTGGTTGAATTGACGACCATGACCTTTTAAAGGTTTTCACAGCCATTGTTTATTAACTGGGGTTGGTTGCTGTATTGGTGTTTTTTTTGTCTTTGTGTTTTGTTTAGGTACGTGGACAAAAGTTGTGTTTTGATTGGGTCGTCAACGTTTTTTTAAGGATTTTAAATTGGACATAATAGTACCTCATTATACGAGAGATAATGCACACGCCAATAAAGTCTTTATTGGTATAAGAATAAATAAAATAAAATAAAATATAGAAGGAGTAATAGTATATTATGTTTCAAGTTTGAGAAGCGCTATTTTATTTAAGAATTTTAATTAAATGAGTAGCATACTATACTTTTTCTACGACAAATACCTATTTAATATTATCTAAAAAATGATTTAAATTAAATATTTGTTGGTATAAAGCGACATCTATACGAAAATAAAGTAACCATCCCAATAAACATTTTTGACGTAATTGTCACCATTAACATTGCCCGTTAATAAACAATTATTGATACTAAACAATTATTGCTACTTTAAAATATTTAAATAACTTTAAAATACACAGGGGTCCTCAAGGGTGAATAGGTCTTTCAAGAATGTACTCCTAAAAATCACTTTCATTGAAATCCCACCTGATCGGAAATATTTAGATTTTTTTAATTTTTTAAATTTTTTGTGGATATTTTTAAGAGATGAGGGACTGTTTGTTTTTCCAATTTAGAAAAAATGCCTGTTTCTGATATTCAAAACATATATTTATTAAAAATTATAACCAGTTTCTATAAAAAATTAAATTAAATCATTTTAAAGTGTATCCCGTAACAACCTGTTAACATAACACAACATACTATAAACTATAAATGAGTTGATGAAAACTCTACTACTGCTTTTAGTAACAAACTGCAGTATCTCTCATCGCTAATGTCATTTAGTGGTAGCGTTTCCTACTTGGAAGTTTTGCCATTTATTTCATGTTTTAAGGCCATGAACAAAGTTGTTAATGATTGTTTCTCACTAGAGTTAAAATAAAACGATCTTGTTCAGGATATCGAAAACTTTAGAAAATGTTTTAAAGCAATTAATCTATCAACAACTTTAAAAATTCATATTGCTTTAAACCATCTTGTAGATGAAATTAAATTCTTAAATAATGAAGCTTTGAGTATATGGTCAGAACAGCCGGGAGAGTCGTTACACAGGGAGTTCCTTAAAACTTGGGAAAAGTATAGAAACTGGTTATAATTTTGAATATCAGAAACAGGCATTTTTCTAAATTGGAAAACCAAACAGTCCCTAATCTTTTAAAAATGACCACAAAAAATTAAAAAATTTAAAAAATCTAAATATTTTAAGTTTCCGATCAGGTGGGATTTTAATTAAAGTGATTTTGAGGAGACCAAACGTTTCCGAAAAATACCCCATAAACAGTTTTTGAGTACATTCTTGAAAGACCTATTCACCCTTGAGGACCCCTGTGAATATGAATATATTCATATATGTTTAAAGTTTTATCCTTTGATTTTTTTTATTACCATAATTGCAAAATATTATCATAAAGTATTAAAAACTCTTACACGGGAAATATTAAAGGTACAAAAAGTGACAGTTGTTTTTATGAGAATTTCTAACTTTTGAATCTACCGGCGTGCCGGCCTTAAAATGTCAAATTTTTCTGTGTAAATCAAAATCTATCCCTTGAAAATAGACGATATATAAATATATAAACGTTCATATATAATTCGTCCATATATAATCTTCAAATATTTACGTCAATAAATTATTTAATACTTTTTAATTGAGATAACAAAATAATTTTCACTTTTAGTATTACTTATTTCACTTTCATTACTGTCATTTAACTTAAAGCTAACTTCAGCCCGTGACTAAAACTCCATAAATCCACAGCTTGTTAATGTAAAATTAAATAAAATTAAAATAAAAAAAATATTAATAGGAAATGTTGATTGTAATACCGTCACCTGAGAATTATAGTGTTCTATCTGCATTTTCTTTTTTTTATTCAGGTTAGTATTGTTTTAAGTCTTAAAGATGATATTGATCTATCTATATATAAATGTTGATATTGATCTATAATATAGAAATTGTAAAGTTTAAGGTTTAAACTGTACAATTTCTACCTTCAGAGGTCGCTGGAAACATTCAAAATACTCAGAATTTTCAGAATCATTATTATTTTTAAATTAAAAAATAATATCGGAAAGAGAAAAAAAATTAAAATAAAAAAAATCCAATTTTTGACGATTTTGGTAATTTTTAAAAATCTTGAGCGACCCCTAAAAATTTTTTAATGGTGCTGATCTTTTGACAGGGCTCTTAAAACATGAAAAACCAACATATTTTCACAAGAGACGAGAAGAAAAAAAATATTCTTTTTTTTTGGGACACCCTAATATAGATAGAACAATATGCATCTTTAATACTTAAAACAAGACTAACCTGAATAAAAAAAAGAAAATGCAGATAGAACACTATAATTCTCAGGTGACGATACGTTAAACTATGAAAATGCTAAATATTATCATTGTTTCTTAAAACAATGTTAACATTTATTTTTATTTCCTAAAAAACTTATTTATGTAGGTACCAATTTTTGGAAAAGGAAAAATAAATAAAATAAAATTACGATTTAGTATGTATCATTTAATTTAATTTATTATTTTCGATAACTTGTTAGAACCAACATTTTTCAATATTATTCTTTTTAAAATTTAAAAATAGTTCTTTGCATTTTTAGGTTCTTTGCTTTTTTAAATTTTAAAACAATTGGTCTATATTGTTCGCTTTTTATAAAATATGAGTATGTGAACATACTAAACACTGATATTCGGCATTTTTATGTTTCAATTAGGTAGGTATTTCTAAATTTAAAATAAAGATTATTATTATTATTATTAATGCCTATTAAACCTTTAAAAAATAAAGAACTTTAAGCCTAGGTCACCCTACATTTTTTAGTCCCAGCTCCCCTTTTCCTTAATCCGGCCCAGATGTCAATGCCATATTTTAATTGTTTTCATAACAATAATGTAAAATATAAATATGTAAGTTTGGAGATTTTTAAACATAAATGCTAAAAAATTGTTCTTTAAGTAAAAATTAATTGGAATTTTATAAAAATTTTAATTTGTATTCTTGATTACATTTAAAATATTTTAGATTTATATTAAAAATCTTTATCAATTCAGTTAATAAATAAAAATGTTATCCATTATAGTTAATAGCTATTAAGTTAATAGTATTAACCTATTTTAAGTTTTGGCGAATGTGCCGGGAATAAAATTGAAAAATTGTCATTGTAAACAAAATATTATATTATTTATTAGGTATAATAATAATAATAATAATAATAATGTATTGATTGCAAAAACATATTACAAACAAAAGGCGAAGTTAAGTACCCTAAACTAGGTAGCTCTTCCACTTAACCCTATTATTATTATATTATTATTAGCTAACATAGTAATAACCATAATTATAATAATTCATGTTTAAAATCTCTCTTGTAATATAGATTTATTAATATAAATCTATTGCAGAAAACTGTATTTATCCATTTTGCGTTCATAATGACTTCATTATAACACCGCCTTCGGTGCTGTAATGAGATACTATCCCACCCAAAATTTAGATTTTATGGGTTGGCTATACTTTAAAAAGCATAATATTTTGCCTATTGGTTTATGATTTTTCTAGTACTTACGAGATTTTTCTGGCAATAAATTTTGTTTAACACCAAATAAAATCCTTTTTTTCTTCTTTAACATTAACAGCCGCTTATTGTAAATAATTAAATTAAGGACGGCATGGCGAATCGATTTTGACATTAACTGTCAAACCAATGACTGTGATACCAACTATCTAAAGTAAAATTCGATCCAATTAAATTTAAAGTATAAAATTATTTTTTTAAGAATTTTTGCAAATAAATAGATAAAATAGCAAAAAGAACTCATGTCATACCTTTTGTCGAACTCGTCCTTCGTCGCTCGTTTTATAAATTGTCCGCGTACGACAAAATGACGTCTTATGACATTAGTTCTTTAATATACTATTATTAATATTAAGGATGAAAATTTGGACAGTTAAATCGAAAAAAATATTACAATTCGCAATCAAAAAATTACTATAAAAATTATTATAGGGTGTCTCAAATTTTAATCGTACAAATTAAGTATACTTCATTTGTACGATCAAAATCGACTATAGTCGATAAACCTTGCAAAAACAAGAAAAAGTTTATATAAACTTGTATGTTTTAAAGCTTCGTTTTCAAGATAAAGTTATTTAAACAAATTAACTTTATCAAAAGTTTCAAAAACTCCTTAGTCAAAATTAATAAAACTTTTTAGGTTTTTAAAAATATGCAAAGAGCTTAATTTAATGTTAAATGTTAAATTGAATTTACTTAATCCAAAGGCAGCGCTGGGGCATGACCGGGCATCCCAATTAGATATTTAAAAATAAAATTTGGGTACGCTACTGTTTTTTTTTAAGTTTAATAGGGTTTTGAGATTAGTTAATTAAAAATACTTTTTTGTCTTGTTCATTTTTCATTTATCTTGTTATATTTTCAGGAAAAAAAATAAAATTCGGTTATTTGCTCGCCACTGGAAAAATTATGGCCACGACTCGCGACACACGAGCGGATAAACAAATTTAATTTTTATCTTAAAAATTAAGCAAGATAAAGAAAAAATTTTGGAGACAAAAAAGTTATTTTTAATTGCTTAATTTAAATATAATAACAAACTAATAAAAAAGCAGTGACGTGACCATTATTTATGTATTAACTCGTATTTCGAAAATAAAGCTTAAAGCATAAAACTTTTGTTCTTATTTTTGCGAGT